ATTCAAAGCGGCTGTACTACAGGCCTCCCCTCCTGCAGTGGGCAGCCCCTTGCTCCCCATCCTTGCCAACCCTTGGAATTGGCAGTGGTTTTTCTTGTAGCCCCTTTGAAAGAAATGATAGTTTATCAACTCCGTAAAAGCTGTGATGGTGTTTGAAGTCACCCCTGACCTTTTTTTTTTTTTTTTTTTCTTTGAACCAGGATTGAACTCAGGACCTTGCACTTGCCAGGCAGGCACTGTGCCACTGAACCATATCCCTGGCCTTCCCCTGACCGTTGTTAAACCCAGCACCATCTCCTCAGAATGACTTCCCAAGTGGCACACTTGACTGTCACTTTTAACAGCCAAAATGCATCCAGGCATTGTGGTGAACACCTGTAATCCCAGCATTCTGGAAGGCTGAGGCAGGAGGATCACAAGCCAAGCCAAGCCTCGCAACTCAATGCCTTAGTGAGACCCTGCATGAAAATAAAAACATAAAAATAGATCCCAAGACTAAAATGAAAGAAAAAAAAAGCCAAATCCTGCAACTGCAAAACCACACCTAAGACCTCACCGCATCAACCACTTACTATATACTTTGTAGATTTTTTTTTTCTTTTGAGGTTGAGATCATGACCTCCTGTCTCAGAGGACAGACAGTAATTAGCTTCCAAACGCTGCATGATGCTGTAAATCTTTCCTTTTCTTTCTTAATCATCGCTGTGCCATGAAATTCCAGGCAGAGCGCTGTTAGTGCAGAAGGTCCACAATTTCCCACAGGCTGTACAGTGGTATGTGATAGAAATATCCCTCTTGCCAGACACCCGGAGCCTGTTTCTATGGGTAAACTGCCCCTTGTAGAGACTCCCATGATATTTGTAGGCATACAAAGCCTATAAAAAATAGTTGTTTCTCTTCCATTGTTTTTTTTTTTGTTTTTTGTTTTTTGTTTTTCTGGTACCAGGAATCGAATTCACGACCTTGCCCTTGCCAGGCAGGCACTGTGCCACTGAGCTAAATCCCCAGCCCCTCTTCCATTGTTTTTTAACAAGGTCTTGCTCTGTAGCCCAGGCTGGCCTCAAATGCACAGCCATTCTCCCAGCCTTTGTCTTCAATTCTGACACAGGGGTTGGCAAACTATGGTCCACGGGCAGCTGCCTGTTTTATGACATAGAGCTTTGTTGGAGATACGTGGTAGCACAGGTCTGTAATCCCAGCGCTCTGGGAGGCTGAGGCAGGAGGATCACATGTTTGAGCCTAGCCTGGGAAACTTAGGGACTTAGTGAGACTCCATCTCAAAGTAAAAAATAAAAAAGGCTGAGGATGTAGCTCAGTGCAAAGCCCCTGGGTTCCATCCCCAGTAACACAATCAGTCGGTCAATATTAAAAAAATAAAATACAGTTCAATTGGTGCACATCTGCAGTCTTTCATTGACACGTGGCCTACGGCAGCTGCAGGACCAGGACAGCGCTGGCCAGGGATACAGACACCGGTGTGCAAAGCCAGAATACTGACTATCGGAGAAACCGAACCTAAAACCTTTGTCCAAGGTCACATTTCGGGAGAGTCTGTTGCTCCGAAACAAAGACTGAGGTGGGGCTGGGAGTAAGCCGGGGAACAGGGACAGGACAGAGCGACAGAGACCCAGAGAAAGGGGACAGACAAAAAGCGAAACCAAATGATCCTGAGTCCGCAGAACCCGTGGGACACTGAGATCGGCCGTAGCAGCTGCTGTCGCACCCCAGCCCAGGCACAAGCGGTGGACAGCACCTGTAGGGCCCTAAGCAGGTGGGTGACACGGGACAGGCAGCTGGGTGTGAGTCTGCCTCCCCTTGGCTGTGAGCACCCCTGACCTGGGACTCGGCTCTCTAGTGAGAGGCTGTGGGTACTTGGGGACACCTGGGCCGTCTCCAGCTGGGGCTCACGGCCAGGGGCGCAGCTGTGCACACACCTGTCATGTGTCCCAGTGACCAAGAACCTGTTCGCATGTGCAGAGGCCTTGTGTGCCCACCGTCAGCTCTCCTGGCCCCGGCCGAGTGGATTTCCAGGTGGCTGTCGCTGTCTATCCTCCCTGACTCAGCGCCTGAGGTGTGGCGGGGCAGGGGCTGGGCGGTGGGAAACTCTTCTCTGCCGGTGCTGTCGCCTCCTCTAACTCCCCGTCCTCTCCTGGGCTGGTCACCAAGTCCTCCCGCCCCCCCCCCGGGTGTCATTCATCAGGGCTTTGCGGAGGGAAGCCTTTCTCCCAATCTGTGACCTGTGCCACTTGGCACGAGCCACTTGGCCTCTTCAGGCCTCAGTCAAGTGGGGATTTCAATATTTAAAAGTAGCACGCAGGTTCAGGGCAGGAAGGCAATAAACACATTCCTGTGAATTGCTTTACAAGGTTCATGGAACCCCGGAAATCCTCCAGAAATAGAAATGTTACAGCAGCAAGCACAACTTTTTATAGTCAGAAACTCAGTCCAGGCGTGGTGGCGCACGCCTGTCGTCCCACCACTTGGGAGGCTGAGGCAGGAGGATCACCATGAGGACCAGGCCAGCCTGAGCTACACACATAGTGAGTTCAAGGTCAGCCTAAACCTCATAGAAAGACCCTGGCCTCAGCCTCCCAAGTGTTGTGATTACAGGTATGAGGCTCCACACCTGGCAAGAGGGAACTTCTCCGACTGGCTCATCTTTTCTCTGAGCCACCCTGCGCCATAAAGCATAAGTTATCTGAATTCTCAGTTCCCCAAACTCACAGGGGGCTCCATAGTGGCCACAAGAACCACCCACAAATACATCACCTCAGTCTGTGTGGGCACAGGAAGGCCTGTTCTCACTCTGTGCACCTAGGTGTGACTGTGTGACCCAGCTGGGTCAATGAGCAGCTGTCAGCTGTGGGCAGAAGTGGGTAAGGTGACTGTGAAGTTCACATCCCCCCTCTGCCAGAGTCCTGGCTGACCATGCCCATGGCCCATGGGAGGATGTGTTTCAGTCAGTTTGCTACTGGGGCTGTTTGTTACAGCAGCAGAGCCCAGCCCATGCTGACTGATACATGCATCATTCCTGTGCTCTCGGCCTGCCAGACTCCAGGTCCCATGTCCACAGCCAAATAGCTTGTTTTCTTTTTTCTTGTCCCACTGCTCCAAGGGGCTCCTCACTCCCTTCCATTTTTAATAATCTCAGATGTAGTGATTTATCAAATCAGAATCTTCACAAAATTTACAAAATAGATAGCATTTATTATTTATTAATTACTTAATTTTTTGTTTTTTGGAGACAGGGTCTTACTATGTGGTTCAGGCTGTCCTTGAACTCACAGCAGTCCTCCCGCCTCAGCCTCCCAGGCGCCAGGATTACAAGCTTATGCCACCATGCCTGGCCGCCCATGGTATTGTATAACAAGACTCATTCTGATTCTGTGGTGTTTCCCTCAGAGCTGTCCTGTCACCAGGTGGACCACGTTCCCCTCTATCACTGCCTCCACAACCACGGTCACGTTCCCTCCTTGTGCTGGCCACCCATTATTATGGGCAACACCATGACGTCTCTGGGTCCAGTGGCAGCCTTGCTGGGGCACAAAATCAGACCACACTTCACCCGACTACCCTTCATCACACTGCCCATCAGCGGGGCTGCCGAGGAACCAAACCGGTACCCCATGCTGCCTGTGTCTTCCCGCCTCGAATCGGGGCCTGATCTCCGAAGCTGAGGGTCCTGCACCCCGTTCCCCAGGACTGGACACAGCTCCTCTTAGAGACTCGGGGCCACCGGGGCCAGAGTGGGGACGAGAAAAGGATGAGCAAGCAGTATCTCAGGCTCTCCTCTCAAATATGGTCCCCGACTCATACTGTGTAATAATAATAACAGTAATCCTACAGTAGCCATGCTATTGCCCCTAGGGATCCTGGGAAAAGCAAGCGTAGGCGGCCCAGGCCAAGGCCATTCCCGGGTGTGAGCACCCCCTTGCGGTGCAAGGGCCCCATTACACCCCAAGGCATATTGTCCACCATTGACTCCCCCTAACGGAGTCACGCCTAAGTCAACTCAAAAGATAGGTTAGGAATCCTTTGCATGCCAGGCCAGCGAGGCCCAATCAAAATATAGTGGGGTTGTGGGTACAGTGGAGCACACCTGTAACCCCAGCTACTCGGGAGGCTGAGGCAAGAGGATCGCATGTTTGAGTTCCACCTGAGCAAATTAACAAGACCCAGTCTCAAAATAAAAAATTTTAAAAGGGCTAGGGATGGAGCTCAGTATGAAGGCTCTGGATTCAGTCCTCAGTACCAAGAAAAAGACAAAAACAAAGAGGCGGGGACTAGGGGTGCAGCTCAGCGGAAGGGCACTTGCCTGGCATGCTTTGACCCTGGGCTGCATGCCCAGCACAGCAGACCAAAGCAAAACAAACTGAAAAACCCCACAGGCCCCTCCAGCAGGCTTCCAGCAGCTGGCGAGGTCGGTCATGATTTTATTTCCTAATCCGTTTCTTGGGTTTGATATTCCCCTGCCCCTCCCATCCCTGCTAGACTGAACCCCAAGTCCAAGGACCAGGTGCCCCGCACTGAACAGGTGCTCTCGAGACACCTGTTGGTCAGGTGACCGCGTCCTCCGTGTGGCCGTGGACCCTGGCTGCTCCCCTCAGCGCTGTGTCTGGTGCCTACCACAGGCCTGGGACATAGTATGGGCTCAGTAAACGCTTGCAGAACTGATGAACGTAAGTGCCCAAGGGACAGACACCTGTTTTTCTCAGCTGTAGCTGGCTGGGAGGCCGTCCAACAGCACCCAGTACCTAGTAGGTGTTTAATAAGGGTCCTGAGAAAATGAATTTGCAAAGAATTAGTAAATTCCCACAACCGTGTGTGGTGGCGACGCCTGTAATCCCAGCACTTGGGAGGCTGAGGCAGGAGGATCGTTGCAAGTTTAAGACCAACCTGGACTACAAAGTGAGCTCAAGGCCAGGCTGAACTGCATAGCGAGATCCGGTCTCCAAAAGAAAAAAAAAAAAAAAAAAAAATTCCCAGAGGGCGGGGCGGAAATGTGTTCCCTGGCTCCCAAAGCCACGCCCCATGCGCGTAGTAGGTGCTCAGCAGAGGGGCGCGCCGCCCTTCGGTGATGTCACAGTGTCCCTCCCTGACGTCACAAAGGCCCGGCCATGCCTCTAACGTTGGTGGCCTTGATGCTCTGGGGCCTGAGCGCCCCCGGAGGCTGGGGCTGCCTGCATTGCGACCGCTCGGTGCGCGCCGCGCTCGTACCCGCGCACTTCCACCCGCAGCGGCTGCAGGCGCGCGCGCAGGCCCTGCTGCGGGCCATGGAGGGGCGGTTCTTCCGCGACTTCGCGCTGGGCGCCTCGTGGGCGCGGCGGGTGCGCAGGGAGAGGCAGGGCCCGCCTGGAGGAGGGGCGCGACGAGGGAGGGGTCGCCTGCTCCCCTGTCCTGCTCTCTCGCCCCAGAGGTGGATCACCTGGGAGGCGTGGCGTCCTTTCTAAAGAACCGAACGGCGCACTTACTGGCGAGCTCTCGGACAGGTAGGGAAGGCCCTTCCCCAGCGCTGGCTCTCTGCTTTCTTGGGGAACCCTGGCTGGAACAGCCGAATAAAAGCAAACCCGCGCCTGGCCGCTCCTGGGTGGCTGGCACCTTAGTTAGACAAGTCTAAGCAATTTATAGAGGCGGGCACAGCGGCGACGTGCGCTTTAGAGAGGGGGAAAAGCGGAGGCTCAGAGAGGTGGGGTGACCTGGCCAAAGTCACATGGCGGGAAGGACGGAGCTGAGGCGGAAATTAGGCCAGTTAATAACCTAAGTGTCCCCGAAGTGTTCAAATGAAAGGAAGAGTCGCAAGTCTCCATTTAAATCAGAAGCTAGAGCCAGGCACGGTGGCGCACCCCTGTAATCCCAGCATTCAGAAGGCCGAGGCAGGAAGATCACCACAAGTCTGAGGCCACCCTGGGCTACATAGTGAGTTCAAGGCCAGCCAGCACTATATAGTGAGGCTCTATCTCAAAAAAACAAAAACAAAACAAAACAAATCCATCAATCAAAATCCAAAAATGGCTAAGCTCAGTGAAAAAGGCATGTCAGATGCTAATACGGGGACAGCAGGGCCTGAGCCATGTTCAGAATGTGAAGGAAAAGTTCCTTTTGTGGCACTAGGAAATTAAACCCAGGACCTTCACACTGAGCTGCATCCCCACCCTTTCTTTACTTTTTTTTTTCTTTTTTTTTGTGGGTAATGGGAATCAAACTCAGGACCTTGCACTTGCCAGGTGCTGCTGAGCTGTACCCTCAACCCCTACTTTTTATCTTGAGACAAGATCTTGCTAAATCACCACGTTGCTCAGACTGGGCTCAAACTTGCAACCTGCTGGGATTACAGGCATGGACCACTGTGCTAGCTAGGAAAAGCTCTTTTTTTGTGTGTGTGTGTGTGTGTGTTTTTTCCGGTACCAGGAATCGAACTCACGATGTTGCGCTTGCCAGGCAGGCGCTGTGCCGCTGAGCTAAATCCCCAGCCCCCCTTGAAGGAAATGAAAAGTGCTGCCCCAGAGAGCTCAGGAGTGAGAGGGAACAGAAAGAGCTTAATCTTGACAAAGTCTTGGTGTCTGGATAGATCAGTGCAGCCACAAAACTATCTTAAGGCAAAGCCTCCTCCAGAGCAAGGTCTTCCTCGACTCAATTCTGTGATGGCTGAGAGAGGGGAGGAAACTGCAGAAGAAAAGCCTGCTCCCAGTACTTACTTGGGAGGCTGAGACAGGAGGGTCATTGAGAGTTCTGAATTACATAGCAAGACCCTGTCTCAAAGAAACTAACTAAATAAAATAATAACATTTCAAAATGCCATCAATATCAAAATATTTATACTGTTTTCGTACTATCTTTGAAATCTAGTGTGTGTTTTTTCTTTTAGAGACAGGGTCTCATTATGTAGTTCAGCCTGGCCTTGTACACACTATGTAGCCCAGGCTGGCTTCCAACTCTCAGCAATCCTCCTGCCTCAGCCTCCTGAATGCTGGGATTATGGACACACACCACCACATCCAGCTCTAAAATCCCGTGTACCTTTTTACCTGGAGCACATCTCACCTCTGCCTAGCTCAACCCAAGCACCCAAAGACCTCTTGTGCCTAGAGACCACCATGTGGGCGGTGCTGGCCTAGGTGCTACATAAAGCCAAGAAGCTGGGTTGACATCATGAAAGAATGAGCAGAGACAGAGAAAAGAACTGAGTAGAGATCAAGTTTACTTGAAAGATAACGAAACCAAGGCCAAGGGAGAGGGGCTTAGTCTGGGGCTTCAATGGATCACAAGGCTTTGGATTTTAATGAAGGACCTCAACCTGTATCTACCCAGGAGATGTTGAGTCAAAGCTGACTTTCCTCCTGGTAAAGGAAGAGAACTTTATACCTTGCTTGCCGGGGGGATAAAGCCCCCAACAAGGATCTCTTCCTCTCTCCAGATGGGCCTCTGCTGGAAGAACTGGTGATCTTTAGGGAGGAAGTGATCAAGGAATTCAAGAAAGTTTTAAGATCCTATGAATTAAAAGGTGTGGCACAGCTGTCCACCAGGCCCCCTCCTTTCCTTCCCCGTTGCTCCCTTCCTGCCATTTTTGCCTCCCAGATTTCTTCCTCCCCACCCCCGTGACTCAGCCGCCATCTCTCCCCAATATTCCTATTTCTCCTTCCCGGAAGTCATTCTCACCGTCTCCCCGCCCCTTCCCAATTAAATTCTGAAATTGCTATCCCCACTTCGTTCACCTCCACCCTTTTTTCTTGCACCCTGCGATCCCAAAACCTGCCGTGAGTCCTGGATTTGTTGTCTGTCCCTCCCTTATCTGCCTTCTTACACTTTGGTACCCCAACCTCCCTACTATCACACATCCCCCAGGCCCTATGAAAATGCTTGCGACCTGCAAAACAGCACCTTTGGATACTGGATAGGATAGGGTAATGTATTGTGTCAGATAAATCCCCCACATCTGGGTGCTTTAGCACAATAAATGTTTGCTTTTCTCTCTCACCTAAAAGAATCCAGTGACTCTTCCAAACAGGGAGTCTGGGATCCCCCTGGCCCCACACCATACCTTCAAAGCTTGCTTCAGAAGGAGAAAAAGAATAGGGACTCACACTGGAAGTTATATGGCCAAGCTTGGAAGTGAGGCATCCACTATGGTCACTCTCCATTGGCTAGAATTAGGTCACATGGTTCAATTTGTTGCAAGTGAGGCTGGGAAATGTAGTCTTCCTGTGTGTACAGGAAGAGGAACCAGATAAGCAGGCATCATACCAGTCTCTCTCTAGTGGCTCAAAAATGGGAAAAGTACAAACTCAGCATTAATACATGTTTAATTAAATGTCTACAAGTGAAATGTTAGGTTAACAGGAGTACTACTCAGTTTAATTCTGCCATAATTATACAAAAGTTATTTTCCATGTGAACGGTCAGTACCCTGTGTCCCACCTACTCAGCCATGCTTTGGGTCCTCCATACTGCAGAAGAACCAGGGACCCGTCTCCTCCTGCCCTTCCTTCCCACCCCTTGCCACTTCTCTGGCTCAGCCCTCGTCCTGCTTCTCCCTTCCCCCTTGTTTAGACTTGCTCAAAGAAGAAGTCTTGGACTGCTTGAGTTGCCAGAAAATCAGCCCCAAATGTATCAAAGAAAAGTACTGCTTCGGTAAGCTTCGGGGGAGGGGACAAGAGGGGACGGGTGTCTGAGGGGTGGAGACAGCCTTGTTCCAATGGACATGGGTTTGAGTGGCCTTGAATTCCACCCTTGCCATTTGGCTACCGTGTGGCCCAGAGGTAGCTCCCACATTCTGAAATCCTCTGTCACCTCTGTTAAGTGGGAGGAACCTGCTGGAGTTTAACAACGCCCCTAGCAAAGAGTTTATTCCTAGCCATTGCCATTTCTAGGAAGCCCAGGAAGATGTGTAAATGCATGCGTTCATTCATTCTTTCATGAACTACACATGCACACATGCGCATATCCTCCTGGTAGAGAGAATAACCCAATGAGTCCATGTTTATCCACCCAGGTTAATACAGTAGTCACACTGGACCACTGCACGTGCTGTCCCTTCCCTCTGTCACACCTTTGCCCTCCCACATTTCCTTCGGATCTCAGTCACCTGTCAGCGAGGCCTCTCTGATCACAGTCTGTAAAGAGGCACTTTGCACCAAACTGTGTTCACGGTCTTCCATCTCGGCCTAACCTCTTTTATTCACAGACGCCATGCAATTTCCCTAGCTCATAGCGTGTGCCTCTAGAAATAAGGGCATATTCTTACATAACCACAGTGCCACTCCCACATCCGACAAGCCTAGTGACGGTTCTGCAATAGCAAAAAATTTTAAGTTCCTCCGTCAACTTCCCTGACTGTCAATAGAACATTTTTCAGAGCTGATTTGCACAAATCAGGGTTCAGTAAGAGGCCTCCCTGGATTGATTAGTTGTTTGAGTTTTCTATTTGTTTATTTATTTATGTATTATATGTATGTATGTATGTATTCTGGAGTCAGGGTCTCACTATGTAGTCCAGGCTGCCCTTGAACTGTATGTAGCCTAGGCTGGGCGTGACCTCATAGCACTCCTCCTGCCTCAGCCTCCCGAGTGCTGGGATCACAGGTGTGCGCCACCACACCTGGCTTTCACTTTAGTTTTAAATCGAAGTTTTTCCTTCCATTTTTCCCTTCCGGGACACTGGCTAGTTGAAAGGCAGCAGTATGTCCTAAAGAGTGTCCTGTTTTCAGACTCATCTATCTCCTTGGGATGGTTTAATAAGAAATATTTTGAGCACCCAATAGTGCCCTGACCTGGGGGTCAGCAGAATGGGTGACAGGTTTCTAATGGATCACATTTTAATGGGGCGAGGGGCTGGGCGAGGTGCCTCACCTTGGCCTACCGAATGCACAGCTGGTGACTCCTTGTATGAAGGCCGCCCTGTGAGTTGCAGGATGTTTAGTACTGTGCCTGGCTTTGACCCATCGTTGAGAACCACTGGGTTCGACCATAATAGGCTAGACCCGGACAGCTAAATCAACACATTCCAGAGAGCAAAAGGTACCCTAGGAAAACAGGACCCAACGACTTAATAGACAATGTGGGGGCAGCGGTTGACGTAGTTACATTGAAGAGTGCAGGTGCGAGCTCCCTCTCTGAAGAGATGACCTTTGAGATCTGCAGGACACCAGCGACAGGAACAGTGTGACTGACAAAAGGAACAGCACTGCAAAGATCTAACATGAGGAAGCAAAAAAGAGGAGAAGCGGTGTGGCCAGGGTAGAGTGAATGAACGGAGAGCGAATGGGTGAAGAAGAGCAGTGGGGCAGCTACAGGCTGAGCCAGGGCACAGGGAACAGATCGATCGCTGAGGGCCAGGAGGGCCTTGGGCTTTTATTCGGAGCTGGGAGCCTTGGGGCTGCCTGACGCCAAGAGCAGCAGAGACCTGAGCTTTTGGTGTGTTGCTGGCGCCCTCTGGAGGCTGTGTGGGGAAGTGTAGCGAGTACTACAGGGATTCCCTTGAGAAAAGCGGCGGCCAGGGCTGGACCAAGTCGGTCGCTACAGAGGTGAACTAGGTTGGGCTTGTGGCCAGGACGCTTTGCCGGTAGAAGGAAAGCGCTGGGGACGGAGGAGGGTGGAAGATGCAGGATGCAACTCCCGTGGTTCCCTTCGGGGTGAGTGTGTGAGGGGCGCGAGGTTAAGGAGGGGTGGTGACGACCCGGCTGTCCCTCCTCCTGCCCCAGTGGACAGGCAGCCCCGCGTGAGCCTGGATTTCGGGATGATCAGCAAATGCCTGCAAACCCAGCCCCTGGTGGGCATCTGCATGGGTGTTTCTGGCTGTCTTTTTCTTCTGGGTCATCCTGATCACGTGAGTCATTTTTGCCCCTTCCTAACCCCCTCAGTGCCTCCTGGGTCCCCTGAAAAATGGCAGATGGGTCACTGCATTCCTTCCTTGTCACTCCATGGCCTCCTCCTCCTCCTCCTCCTCCTTTCTCTCTGTCTGTCTCTCTGTCCCGTCTTTCTCATCTGTCGCTGTTTTTCTCATCTCCTCTTCCCCCCACCCAAGTGACTTCCCAAGACCCTCAGCAATTTTCCCTTTGTTGCTCACTTCCATAAAAATACTAGAAATTAGAGTTTGTAAAAGTGTCGGCGTAAAAACAACCATCACTGGGGGCTGGGGATTTAGCTTAGCGGCACAGCGCCTGCCTGGCAAGCACAAGGTCGTGAGTTTGATTCCCGGTACCGGAAAAAAAAAAAAAAGAAAGAAAGAAAGAAAGAAAAAAACCAGCTGTCATTGAAGTCTGTCCTCATGTTTATAGATTCTTCGCCCTTCCCTCTCCCACTCGGAGGGTTTCTCTCTGCCTCTGGCTGCTTCTGGCCGCTCAGCGCCTTGCCCAGCCCCTTTCCTCCCCTCTCTGTGTTTTTCCCAGTCTCCCTGCCTCCCCCTGTCACATCGGCCCCCTTTCCCTCAGACTCCGGTTTGTCCAGGTTAAGAGAGGGGATCACCCCACCCCCTCTCTCGGTGACAGAGCACCGAATCAGTGGTCACACTTAGCGCTTGGCACAAGCTGAGCGCGCGCTGGGTGTCAGCTCTTCCCATGAGCTCTTCCGGTTGTATCTTCCGCCTCTCTTCCGCCTCTGACTGCCCCTCTATTTCTTTGTCCCTGCACAATTGTTTCCTAGGGCTGCTGCAACCACCGACCACATCTGAGTGGCTAAAAGCAACAGAAATTTATTCTCTGAGTTCTGGAGTCCAAAGTCAGGGGGCTGGCAGGCTTGGTTCCTCCGCGGGCCCTGAGGGTGAACGCACTCCCCGCTCGCCTGCGAGCTGCCGGCCGCTGCTGGCGTCCTTAGGCTTCAGCCCTGACTCCCGCAGTTTCTGCTCTGCCTTCACACTGCTCTTCCCTCCGAGCCTGTGTCCCCGAGCTCCCTCTCCTGTCTCTTAGAAAGACAGCAGGCTTTGGATGTATGCTAAGTCTAAGTTCAAGATGATTTTGTCTCACCTTAATGCAGTTGCGTCTGCAAAGACCGTGTTTGCAGATTCACCGGTACTGGAGTTGGGACTCGGATGTAGTAATTGGAAGGCACACGGTTTACCCCGCTACACTTGCTTCTCTGCGTTTCAGACTTCCTTATCTCCGTCCCTCTGTTCCCACAGTGTACGCTCACTCCGAGTCCCAGCTTCTGTTTCCTCTCTCACGTACCTGCATAGATGGGGTGAGAACCCCAGAAATCTGCCCAGAAACCCATGATGTCACTGGCTGAGCCAAAGCAAGCCAGTGATTGGAGGGAAGTTTGAGGGCGGGTCATTCGCCCAAAATTCCCTTTCTAACCTCCAGGCTTTGTTTTTCCCTTCTGACCGGGGCTTATACCCACAGGCAAAACCGAAAACTCCTGCTGCGGTGGGGTCGTGGCTTTGGAGTTTGTAAGGGGAAAAGAAAAGTTTAATAAAATCTGTGATAAATTCTTCAATGTCTCCTGTCAGTTTCCTGGGGCCCCGCCCGACAACTAACGCCCAGTTTTTCTAGCAGGCAGGTGCTCCTCAGTTGAGACGGTCTTATTCATCTGTAGACACCAATTATCCTAATTTAAGACTGAAGTCATTCCGATCTGCAAAAAGAGCAGGATGGCCTTTCATGGGGGGTCGAAGGGGCAGCCATTCCTCTTGCTGGAGGAAATACACCTAAAAGAGAGACTGTAGTGGGCCCCCACGGGCGGTTACACAGAGGAGAAACAGCGGTTTGTGTGAGGCGGGAGGTTTCCCCTCTGTGTCTGAACAGTTAATTTATGTGTGCACCTGAAGAGATTTGAATATATTTTCAAGTAAATTGAAACTTTGCTACTCAATAAACCAAAATAGGGACCATATAGATTTGAATAACATAGAATCTGTCTGTTTTTCAACTTGCCAGCAGAACTATCCCTAACGAATTGAGGAATCAGAGGGATGTATGAGGAGATAGGCAGGGATGAGAAAAAGCTGAATTTAGCAGATTTAGCGCCTAGCACAGTGCCAGCTTAGACTAGACACTCAGTAAATGGGAAGAGGGCTACAAAAATGATCCATACACCCAAGGTGTACACGCCAGGGGGAAAGAGTTTATCGGTATCGGGAATTAAGACCTTAACTACCTTATGGGTCCAGACAGGTAAAGCGAACAGCCTCATGTTTTCATTCATAATGACAGGAATTAAAAAAACAAAAACAAACAAAAAAAAAAGCAAGCCGGGCGTGGTGGCGCACACCTGTAATCCCAGCACTCGGGAGGTTGAGGCAGGAGGATCGTTGCTAGTTCGAGACCAGGCTGGGCTACAAAGTGAGCTCAAGGCCAGCCTGAACTGCATAGCTAGACTCTGTCTCAAAAAGACAAAAATAAATGAATAAATAAATAAATTTAATTAAATTAAATTAAAAACAACAACAAAAAACCCCCTCAGTTCCATCGTATCGTGGTCGTCGCAAAAGAGCCTGTGTTTCCAGACCTTCACATTTTTCAAGAGAACACAGACACTCAGACTCGTTTATATGTGACATTTCTCCATAACTAATGTTGGCAGCTATTGTATTTCAAAGCATGCCTTGCTATCTGTGAGATGACAGGAAAACTTTTGGGGCTGTATGTGGTTATAGATTTTTATATTTGCGAGGGATTAGCGAAGTTTTAAGTGTTGCTGTCCTCTCCTGGACTCTCGAACTATATTTTGCAAAATTCTGGGCTCCCGCGCAAGCTTCTGTTGTCGTAGAGATTGTTCGCTGGTGCTGTCAAAAGTAGGAAGGTGTTCTTCCGCCCCGCCCCGCCCCCCCCCCACGGTGGGAAGGTGTTCTTCCGATTGGCTAAAACCTAGACTTTCTCGTTTCCGCTTCACCTGTTGCCAAGATACCAGTTTTTGTACATGCGCGGTCGAGCACGCCTCCAGGGGGGCGGTTTTTGAAAAGGAGGCTCGCTCCCACCCAGAGAACTCTGGGAATAGTAGTTTCTGGCGGCCAGCGGAGGCGCACTTCCCCACGCGGCACGGGCAGAATGTGCACAGCTCCTTCTGTTCTGCAGTATTGGAAAAGAACTAAGGAACTAGCCCCAGAGTCTGCGCCTCTTTATCTCTCACCCGGTACTATCTCCTCTTTCCCTCCACCTGGAGCCTCCAGCGGCCGGGCGCCCTGGCTATGGACAACAGCCGCGGGTCGCCATGGGGACGGCACCAGGCGCGTTTGACGCCGACGTGACGTATGCGCGTGCGGGGGCGCGGCTACTGCAGACGCGACAGCGGCGCTTAACTTCACAGCGCTCCGTAACTAGCAGCAGGCTCGCGTCCTGCTGGGAAAGCGGCAGCTGGTGGCCCAAAGATGCTTTTTGTTTGGGTAGCAGTGAGCAATGTTGTTGTTTTTGTTCGTCTTTAATATCTTCGTACGACTAGTCCAGACGCTCCCTTAGCTTAGTGGGAAGGGCCAGGGCGAAGCGCACCGTAAACGGACAATTACGTTGTGTGTAAATTACAGTGTGATGAAAGCCCCCGGTGGGCGCAGGCTGGGACGGCGGAGACAGACACTTATTAAAGAATTACAGCACAGCAGTTATTACCGTATCAGCGCCGGACCCTGGGTTGTTCCTGTGGGAACCCAAGGAGGGAGTTGTCGCTTCTATCCGGGCTGGCTGGGAATGGGAACAAAGTTTCCGAAGGGAAAGGCTGAGGCAAAGGAGGTGTTTTCCACAAGAAGTAGTAGAGGAAGGGAAGAGGGAACAGCAGAATCACATGGTGGGAACTACTGTTTTTGGTGATAGCAAAGACATCTGTGGCGTTTTCTGTCTGCTGTGTACTGTTACAGTGGCTTTACTTACATCAGTCTATTCGGATCTCATATCCTGATGAAAAGGATATTATCTCACCATGTATGATGAAAAAACTGAGACACAGCAGTCAGGCAGTCAGCAGGATTGATGATGACGCTGTGCTGCCCTTGTTACAGGGTCCAGGAGTTGATGAGTGCTGCATTTGCAAAGCAGATGATTTAATTGACTTCCATTCAACATCGAGTGGAAGCCTTCTGGAGACCTTCAGAGGCGTTCGTATTAAACAGTATAGACTAGTTAATGCTGCAGTAACAAACACTTTCTAACCTTCCTCAATCATTAGCCTACAGCAGTGTTCCCCGATTTTGTTGGCATTAGGGGCTGGTTTTATTTATTTTAGCTTTTTGAGACAGGGTCTCCCTATGCAGTTCAGGCTGGCTTTGAGCTCACTTTGTAACCCAGGTGGTCTTGAACTCGAAATGCTCCTCCTGCCTCAGCCTCCCCAGTGCTGGGATTACAGGCATGCACCACCATGCCGGGCTAGGGACTGGTTTTGTGGAAGGCGATTTTTCCACAGACATGGAAGGATGTTTTGGGGATGACTTAGATACATTATATCCATTGTGCACTTTATTATTACTGCATTGTCATACATAATGAAACAGTTATATAACTGCATAATGCAGAATTACTGGGAGCCCTGAGCTTTGTTTTCCTCAATTAAATGGTACCATCTAGGTTTAATGGGAGACAAGGATACTCAAAGAGTGTTGCTCATGTCTTGTCTACTTCATAATCTCATTTAGGTTGCTGTCATTACAGAAAACCCGCTTTCACAAAAATACGATGTTAGAAATGAAAGCCAAAGTAATGCCCAAACTCTTGAAAGCTGAGATAGTTCACAACAAAGGTCCTTAGCCGCAAACAAGATCAAGTCTTCACCAGTAGTAAAGGGCTTTTTACTTTTAGCAGTACGGTTAGCCACTAAGAATCATGCTGTCACTGCAAACACGTTTGATAAAGTGGTGGCCTTCAGTATTCATGTTCACTTTTTTTCATTTTAAAAAGCTCCAAAGGCTTGTGTTTAATGCAGGGTCCGTGGTCTCTATGTGGCAAAGTTGTTTTGATGGTTTTGTGGCTTCTTGGTGTCTCCACATATCGTACCCAATGTACTTGGAGGATGTGAATCACCTGTTGCAGTGACATAACTTAAATAGGACTCATGATATTTTCTTTTAAATGCAGCTCTCTTTTATGGCAGTCTTAAAGTCTTCTTTCTCATCATTGGGTCTCTTTGTTTTCAAAGAAGCTTTCAATGATGTTTGGTTTTTTTGTTCATTTTGGCTATGGTTAGCTGTGGGCTTCCCAAAGCTGTGACTGAGACAAGTAGGCAGTGCAGGAAGGAAGTTCGGACAGAAGTGGTAAGAAAGGCAGACCATGCACAGAC